GGAATAATCGATTGCCCTATAAGCATTGCCAAACAGTGAGCAATACATATCTCTTTCCATTATACACAACACAGCTATGAAAGTGAAATGAATTTACCTCGCTGCGCGGAAAGTTTTACGCGGTATTGCATCCGTGCATTGTGGGTCTCAAATACGTGAGCAATGACCTGTGTCAGTAGTCTCTGAAGGTTCTAAGAGCAAGTTGATCTTAATCAGGAAACATCATAACCACCCGTTAAAGGATATTTTTGCGCATTTTACTGAGCCAATAGTTCATCTACTGACTATTTTCTACATACAGAGCTAAGTTGTCAAAAGGTAATGCAGCGAGGATGATGTCTTACTGACCAGTCACAAATAAGGGGGGTGCGGTAATACAGTGGTAAAAGGATGAATCATAAATTTGGAGATGTTGGTTCTGAATTTCGTTAAATTTGGTTTAATCGCTAATTCTCTGGGTCAAGGAGATCGAGGTCACCCCACACTGCCTAGGCGCCGAATGCCAAAACCGGGTCGCAAGATATGCGAACGAAGTGTACTCGGTGCGGTCATTGCCAGACATGCGACCATATCGTTTGATTTGAATGCGCATCTCAGGGCTGCAGATCTCGTTGATCCAATGCATAGCTATTTGTTATGAGTCATAGTTATGAAATGGTGTTAACCCTGTTGTCTTTTGATACATTATTGTCGCATGACCATTTAAAGTTACCGATGCGCTTCATCTGGTACTGGCTTTCTATTTAATGGATTCCTCCTCTATCCATCAAAGCTCGGCTAACTAACTATAAAAGTTTATTCAAATAATACAGCGAGCTCTGTAATTAAGTTGATGAAACATCCCACCGTGGGTAACGGCAAAAATTGTATACAAGCCTGAAGCTACTAAACTGTTACTATTAGACCTTCAATAGTAGATGCACCCAGGCCATTCATGCTGCAAATTTTCGCGTAACAGATGAACTTTAAATCTTTGACTTCGGTATACTTCTGAGCCTCCCTTCGTCGTACATTCTCCGCAGTACCTTGCGCTGAATTTTTTCCAGTTTGTTTTTCGGAAGTGATTCTATGAAATGGACGTGGTCCTCCTTAATTCGTTTGAATGGAGCAACCAATTCTTAAAGCAGAATCGTCGTATACTTCGGCAAACGCCTGCCTGTTTACAATGAAGGTACCGTTAAGGTAGATGCAAATTTCTTCGGCTGTCAGCGACGGATCCTTACGAACAATGCAGGCGAAGGGACATTCGCCACAGGTGGTATCCGGCACACCGATCACCGCCGCTTCCAGAACCTTCGAGTTTCGTAAAAGAACGGCCTCGAGTTCAGAGGGTGACACCTAAATAACGATTAATTTTCGGACAATATTATGGAGTCATGTGCTATGGTTTCTGAACAGAAATTATGGGACAGGCAAATATTAGTTACCATAAATTTTGCCAGGATGCAGATGCTTGCCTTGAGACGATTTGTTCAAAAGTTTTAACGCTACTCATCCCCTCACTCCGCAATGTGTAAAGTTTGGTTACCGTATTCTGCTACTGTTTAACTAGCAAATTAATCACAAAATGAGCGGATTTTGCTAAGCGTCTAAATTTACTTCTTGTCAAAGGAGAGATTTTGAAACTCATGACTGTGGTTCTAAATCGGTTCTCACGAACAGGAAGCAATACTTTGGCGAAACTCATGAACATGGTCAAGTACCAAATGATTGAAAGTAATGCAATCTAACGAAGTATCGCATATGGTAAGATAAAAAAATTAACAAGACAAAATGAATAGTTAAAATACGATAAGTTATTAAAAGCTAAGATGCAATAGTAAGCAAAATAAATAATAATAATTTAGAAAAATTATTCTCCATATAAATGCGATTCCGTCTGATCATAGCGTTGGGCCTTGTCTGGATTATGAGCGCTTAGATAACTAAGCTTCCTTTGTAGTTGCTAGCATGTGTTATTTTTCGTTGGATCGCTGAAAACGCAGCTGTATCTATCCGCCATGGCGAAACGTATGTCGAATTCCAAAA